CCCAGTGAGTTAAGAGCTTCAATACACCGTTCTTTACACCAAACTGACTGCCAATTTGATGAAACTCTCTGCCCTCAGCAGGAGTGCAAGGTCTTTGATTAATGAGTGCATGTTTGTGGAAAAGCATTAAGAAGAAAAAACAGAAAAAAAACACACAATTATATCTACACATAGTTAAAGTACCACTGCATAATCACTTCCAAACCTATCTCTTTTTCATATGTATACATCTATACATATGTACAAAATTAGCAATGGCTCCTTCCTATAGATTTTCTTCACTGTTATTATCACCAAGGCTCAACAATTTTTTTGAATAAGAACTATTTAAAAACCAAAGTATAAGCCAAATTTTATGTATCATAAAACTATTTTAACGTGTTAATGTTATCTTCAAAAACAAACTACATTATATAGCATAAATTTACATTGTATGAAAAAACTATTTTCATTTCTGATATGTAAACCTTTTAGTTTAACACACCAGAAGTATTGGGGTTATTAAATATTTTGCATCTCAAACTCTATTATGACCGCCACAAATCAACCAGCATTCCAAATAGATTTAAAATCTGTATAAATTCATTTAATTTTTCTACTTTCAGCAGATGTTGCCAATACTTTAGAACTCCATAAATGTAGTTGTGAGTTAATTATGTATATTTATTACTCATAATTTTAAAGCTAATACGGTCAACAAAAAAATTTAGGAATCAACGTTTAAACGTGATATGACCCTTCTGGTCAAAACTCTACAAAATTGAATGCTGAAAATAGTTAAATTGCAAGGTTCTTAATAAGACTACCATAGATCTCTCTACAAATGAACATTAAGATTCCTTTTTAAAAGTATATTTAATAAACAACTAAATTTGCCATTTTTGGCTTATATGAATATCTGCCTTGACACAAATACTCCATAAGAAAATATATTTCATTGGGATTGGGGGGGAGGGGGAAGGCTGGGAAGGGATGTGAAGGGTAAACCATAGGAGGAGGCTGCAATGCTTGGTAAGAAATGTACGCATTATCCTGCCCATGTAATTGTAACCCCTCTGTACAGTATGTTCACAAATAAAATTAAATTAAATTTAAAAAAAAGAAAAAAAGAAAATATATTTCTTAAAAATTTAGCTTAAAGGCAAGCATCCTGTAATCCTAGCTACCCAGGAAACTAAAATCTCAAGAGCATGGTTTAAAACCAGAGTGGGCAGGCAAGTCTGTGAGACTCTTTGTCCACTAAACTACCAAAAAAGCCAGAAGTGGAGCTGTGGCTCAAGTGGTAGAGTACTCGCTTTGAGAAAAAGCATCTCAGGGACAGTGTGCAGGCCCTGAGTTCAAGCTGCAGGACCAGCACCAAAAAAAAAAAAAAAAAGTTTAGTTTAAGCCTGTTGCAAAAAATTAAAAAATTAGTTTAAGGCAAGTTTAACAAGTTATAAGACTATTATACAAAAAGTCTTGCGAAAACATTATAAGCTGAAATAAATCTTAGCTGTAGTCACAGTAATGTTTGACTTACTGGAGACTATAAACATGTGATTTTAATAAAATTATAACTCTGAAATCACTCAAAGGTATATGTAGGTGCTTAAATTTTGTTTGTATTATGTAAGAGATCTTTTGCCTTTTTCTTTTTTTTTTTTTTTTTTTGGTGCCAATCCTGGGGTTTGAACTCAGGGCCTGGGCGCTGTCCCTGAGCTTTTATGCTCAAGGGTAGTGCTACGTAAGCCAGAGCAGTAATTCCAACTTTAGAGAAAAAAAAAAAACTTTTTACTTACTTTTTTAATGCTTAATTAATTAGAGATGAGTCTCATGGACTTGCCTGGTAGGGCTGGCTTCAAACCACAATCCTCAGGTCTCAGCCTCTGGAGTAGCTAGGATTACAGGAGTGAGCCCAGCTCGTGCCCAGCTGAAATCCCTTCTAATGGATTTAATTTAGCAAAGCAAATATTCTAGCCAATGATTTCACATTTTTAACAAAACAGTAATATTAAAGTGAGATTAGAAAAGGGTTTTCAACACAGTAATAAACTATACTATATCCTGAAATCATAACATTCAAATTATTTTTACATGCATTTTTAATGTGCATTTGTCTGCATTAATACTCTTTATTCTTTCTCCTTTCTCTTAACTATCTCCCATCCTACCAACAAAATCATTCCAACAATTAGACAAAGTACAAAACACTGCATAAATGGGAAGATCAAAGTACTAATACAATAGTAAAATAGTTGGAAACTATCCATAAAAGTTACTATGACGATAAATGCAATTTTACTTTAAAATCCACAGTTACTAGTAAAATAATGCAGATTATAGTTTGCTTGGATTGTGAAACAACACTTTGGTCTCCTAAGAAAACTTAAGACAAAACTGCTTATTATGTCAATAACTGTTCCTTTTCTCTTCTGATTTTCTCCTGCAATAAAAGTTTAAATAAACATTAAATCACATGAGTAAACATTTATTACATAAAGCTCAATGTTTAAGGCCTTATGATGCAAAATGTTTAATTTTACATAATAAAAAAACCTCTTAAGTCTCCTAACTAGTTAATTTGATTAATCCTTCAGGAAATTAAGTACAAAAATCATAAACCTTGATGACATAATTTCATACAAGGGTCAAAGTCACTATATTAATTTACTGGAGCTAGATCATATTTCTTCTTTGGGTAGTTTTCTAAGAATAATTTAAAAACTCAGAACCACAACTTAAAATCCCCTTCTTTGACAAATCTTTAAACCTACAAACAATCAAGTTCTAACATATTACTTTCATTAACTTAAGGAGATAAGACAGAAATCCTGATCTCCCATACAACTGTGATATCCTACATCTTGTATAGTAACACAAAAGTAGCAACAAAGACATTAGCAATTGCAGTTCAAGCTGGGAGTGACTGTTCTGTTTCAATTCAATGACACCACTAATGGCTTCTTAGCAGCTCCATGAAATCAACCAGCTGTCAAGTTGATGCATCAGAAGGAACAGTTATGCACTCCCATAAGAAAAAGCAACACATCAGGATGTTTGGCAAAACATCTGCTCCTTTACACTGCAGTTCTATAATAAACATGCAAACAAAGAAATGGAGAGAGGGCAACAGAATTAAAATTCCAAGCTTTCCATTGTCATATATGCATTTTAAATGAATGGCTTATACAAAATAAAAACAAATTTCTCTGAAGCTGAACCCTAAGTTCCTCTATTTCTTTAAATGCTCAACATAAATACTTGTTTTTCCAAAAAGGCAAAAATAACATAAAATAGTTACACTTAAAAAATCCACAGTAACCTATACTCACCAATTAAAAGCAACATCATGTTATAAATAAAACTCCAATATAAAAACTAAGGTATCTTTTCATTTCATAGGTAGTTAGCAGATGACACCAACAGTACTATAACACGTGGTTTCCAGGACTGAATAGTCCAAAAATATTTCTTTCACTAGTTGTTTGAAAGAGTAAATGTTGCTGTATACTAGTTTTAACACCTGACAAGAGTAAAGATAATATATTCTGGACTTTAAAACATGTGTCTGTTCCTATTTTCTTGAAATCATTATATGAACACAACACTATTAAGTTCTCATAAAGCTTTGTTTTCAAAGCATACAATCTATTAAAAAAAAAACCCTGCCACAATAATCTTAAAATAAATTTCAGATGTTTGTAAAATCTTACTTTTTTCTGAGACATACAAGTGTCTTAATGTTATATAAATTATTGATTTGCGCACAATAAGTACAGTGTTTACAATAGGTGTGAGACATCAAATGTACTTAACTACCATTTTCTTAAACTGCTTATCCTCTGTTGCTTGCCATTTATAATCTGCCAAATCTTCTAGTCCTTTGTGCATGTATAATTTAGGACCATCTGTTCTATGTGCTTTTAACTATTTAAACATTTTTCACCTACCTACAATTCACATAAATGGCAGACATTCAATTCATTCAAGCTTTCTATATACTATTTTACATAAAGCAAATTCCTAGATAAATAACCGATAACACCAAAGGCTGCTACAGAAATTTAAAACACACCCTCTACAATGCAAGTTTTCAATGTTAGACAAACCTTTTCACTGTATTCAGAAGTGTTTCTATTAGCTTTTTTTTTTAAGTTAATTGTAGTCAATGTTTTTCCCCAATCCAGAAGACAAAGAGAATGCAAATTAAATACAGACAGTTTCATGTCCTTGTTAGAAGAGATGTAAATATGCTGTCTGAAAATGACTAAGGGAGACAGAATTCCACTTTCCCATTCAATTTACACTGCCTCTTATTTATATACTCAGTGTATCGTTAAGTTTGATCATGTGACCAACCCAACTTTTGTGAGGTGAAAAACTATTTTAGACAATCGAGTTAAAACACTAGTTTGTATTGTTTATTTTTTCATAATGGCTGAGAGTTCACAGCTAGAGATTATAAATTACCTTTTTAAATCCATTCTGCCGTTTATATAATAAACTACATTTTAACCAATCCTCTGACTTAAAATGTGCTACTAAAAATTTAAAGTATGTAGTATCTCAAAGTATTTTCAAAGGTTCTCTCTTTAAGTGTAAATAAACGAAAGGAATTTTTATTACAAGAGGGGAGGTAGGTAATCTAAGTAATGTCTGCACAAATATTACAAAAGCCAATTAAAGAAAAATCTATACTAGAACAAGAAAGTATGAGGATTACATATATATTGTAAACGTTTAAAGAATTAAAAAACATGCATCCAAACTGTAGGTGACCACTAGACGACACAACAAAAGTTCCTATCATTTTTGTTACACGTAACCTTCCACCTGTTACCAAACCTAAAATGTGAAGGCTTTGTTGCTCCGTTTTGAAAGCAAAACACAAAATTAAGTCACACGATTTGTCAGTAGGCTATAAGCTGCACGAACGATTAAAACGGGTAAATGGAGAAAAAAACACTTTTCAGAAAATTTCACGGTGAAGTTTACATGACGTCACTGGGCCCGAACATTTCCTAAACTTTGAACTTTATCCAGACACACTTTTCGCCTTTCGAGGGCTTCTTTCCCTCCCTTAAAAATGTAAAAGGAGACTTGGGGATAAAATTGCCCAAGATGGCGAAACGCTTGTTGTTTAGAGGGCAGGGGAAAAATGGAGGATATTGTAATATACACAAAGGGATAAATTTGAACAACTCGACCACGGACTGCAGCTGCTTCGCTCTCGAAGGAACCACACACAAAAGATAAATACAGGGGGAGGGAGGAGAAAACCCCCCAGCCGCGGGGCCGGCTCTGCCTCTCGCCACCAAGTTCCGATCGTGGGGTTCGTGGAAGTAGTTAGGGGGAGCCGGGAAGGCGAAAGGGGGAAGGGAACCAGCGGAGGGAGGAGAGGAGCAGAGCGCGCGGCGTGGCGGGGAAGCCGGCCGACGCAGACCGAGCCTGGTGGCGGGGGAGCCGGATCCGCAGAGCGACCCACGCGGGTGCCCGGCGCCCGCGACCGGGCAGACCTCGCAGGTAGCCGCGCCGCGCCGGTCCATCGGCCCCACCCCCACCGCCTGGCCCCTGGGCTCCCAGCCCCGCGCTCCGCGGGCCGGGCCGGGCGGGGAGGCTCCGCTGGGGTGGGAGAGGCGCAGCCCGTCAGCCCGCGAGGCTGGAGGGGCGGAGGCAAAAGAGGGCAGCGGGAGGCGCACTGGGGCGGGGGAGAGGTGCGAAGTACCCCGGCGGGGCGGCAGCGGGTATGCCCGGCTAGGAACCCACATCGCCACGCTGCCAGAGGGAGGTTGAAGGGGGTGGTTGTGGTGGTGGCGGTGGTGTTTACGCCGCAGCAAAACTGTTGGCGGCGACCCGAGCGCTGGACGTGGCCGGGGCAGGACGGCGGCGCGCGGCCCGGTGGCGGCCGGCACAAAGGAGGTGGACTGGCGGCTGCGGGCGGGCCCGAGAGCCGCGCGCGGCCCGACCAGACCCCGGTCCCGTTCCGGGCCAGGAGTAAAGTTTACGTTCTCCCGAGACCGCAGCCCCCCACGCCCAGGACCGCACGGGTCCGCGCCCGCCTCCCCAAACTCCGCCCGGGACCCCGAGCGGCACCCCAGCTTCCAGCCAGCACAACAAAGGGACTCGGCGACCGGCGAGGGTAAACAGCGGCGGCGGCAGGGCGGGCGGGCGCCAGGACCAGCAACTCCGGAGTCCGGGCTGCTCGCTCGCTCGCTCGCTCGCTCGCGCGAGCCCGGCCGCTCCTGTCTCTCCCACCGCCTCGCATCCCTGGGAATTTCATCCCACCCTTCACACCCGAGGATTTCGTCGAACTCACCTTCACTTCCCAACTGAGAGTTGCGGTGGATGGGATTTGTGCCTTCCCAGATGGTTTAAGGTTCCGATTTTTTAAATCCTCACCGCCTCCTTATTCCTGTTATAATTTCTGCAAGAAAAGTGTAGAGAGTTGGAGTGGAGGTGAGGTTTGTGATCGGGAAAGCCCTGGGCTCCCTCCTCCTCCGTCTTCCGCCTCTCGCTCTCTGATTAGTTCCTATCCAGCAGCAGATTGAAGCAGGAGATGATTCTTCTCAAGGTTTGTTCAGCAGCTTCACTTCTAGGCGAAGGCTTCATGAACCAAGTGACGTCAACCAACAAGGCTTCTCTCTCTCTCTCCTCTCTCTAACAATGAAAGTTGCTGTTAACAAGGGAAAAAGAGAGAGAATTGTTTATACCATTTCGGTTCCAATAATAAATGACCTATCAGCTCCTAAACCAGCCACGACTGGGGTGCTTCTTCTTTCCAAGAACATTGCTTTGCGTTCGCCTTGCTCTGTCCCAGGAAAAAGTTAAGAAACTTATATGTTTTGTTTTACGTTTAAAGGAGCGAGGACAAAAATCAAACAAACAAAAAAGGTTGAAAATTTAATTTTTTTAACAAAAGTAAATTGATAAATAATGAACATAGATTAACCATCTCTGCCTGAGGTTTGTAAACTCAGAGAAGTCTGTTGAAATCTACAAACCCGACTAAATTAATATGCGAAGGATTTGTGACTGTTAGGACTCAAAAAGCAGAACACAGATGATTCCAGGGTAAAAATGTTACTAATTTTTCACAGCTAGTTGAACAGCTACAATGTTTATGCACTGACTTAAAATAAAATTTAAATGAAAGACATTTACATAGTTACTTGTAGACGTTTAAAAGTTATACATAGATTTAAAGGGTAATCTCGATTTTTTTTCCTTTCTAGTTTGGTGAGGTTAAAAATAGCTAATTACTGCAATTGGACACTTTCTTAAAAATCAGGTAATGAGTTAAGACTACCAGAGCATTAGCTCCCATCTTTAAGCTACACATACAAAATGCTATTTGACCCCCAGAATCTCAACCAACTTACTGTTTTTAACCTTCCAATTCTCTTCCAATCCTCACATTCTGCAACCAATCAAGTTAACTAAGGTAAAGTGCATGTCTTTCCCTCCAGAAGTACACCTCACAGCTTCCTAAACATAATTTTAAAAAGCAAAACAAAAAGACCTTTAACCTTGGTAACACTTTATCACCCACTGATAGAGATAATATTTTAAATCATTGAGGTAGAGATTTTTTTCCCTTAAGACGCTGAAGTATCAACATTTATATTATTACAAATTGCAAGATTTAATTTTTTCAGAATGAAGAGCAAGTAAAATGTAATCTATAGGAGAATCTGACCACATATCAATATTTTATACATATGTGGATAAATGTAACTTAAAAGATGCTATTGTTTTATGTTTCCTCCTCAACCACTGGCTGTGATTTTAATTGTGCTGGAGGATCTTCATTAGTATTAACACATGGGGAGATTTCACAAAGCTGCTTCATTAGGAAGGGGGAAAAAGCTGGCAGACTAGGTCTTTTTGCATGCACTGAGAATGTCAGCCTTACCTCGGTCATTTGTAACATAATAAGTGCAAGTACAATGATTGCAATGCAGGAGCATTGGGGGAAGGGCAGAAATACTGCCTGTCTAATAGGGATATCTGAAAAGAAGGCTGCTCATTACATAGTAAAATGTATGCTAAAAATTAGTGAAGATGATGTCTCAGGAGACTGATGCTAAATAAATTAATGTGCTGATATGTTTTTAATTATTATTTTTGTAGTAGTTTATTTCATTCTCAGGATTCACATTGAGCAGCAAAGCTGTGCTAGCACTTATTGATTTTTTTCCCTGCCACATTCCCGGAATACAGATTTTAATCATTTCACTACACCACACTCAGTAATTTCATTAAAAACTGGAATCTTCCATCCCCAGAAAAGCATTTAATTTCAATGACATACAATTTCTCTTTTAGCAGCAAACTGTCTCTACAGTAAAAGCTGGCCTAAGGTTCAAATGCATAATTTAATCCTGAGTTTTCCATGCTCTGCATTCCTTTCAAGCTATAATTTGAGTAACTACCTAATAACTGTAATAAGGACAATAATGTCCTTATAATATATTATTAACTCATATTTAATTAACTCTGAGACCAAGCTCTATACATGTATGACAGGGTCAACAATTCTACCATCTCAAAATTTACTAATAATATTCCAGAAGAAAAACATCCCAAGTCGCACTCCAAAAAAGTTCCTGTATTAGTCTATAATGGTAGTCATTACTCACACAACATTTTTACTATGAGAAAGTAAATGGAATTCAGTGAGATTCTATGTAAATAAAGTACTAGGATATTGATAGATCCACATCCATTACTGACACTTCTCTAGTCATTAGCATTACAGTTGAAAATACATGATTTTAAAAAGTAAGAAAAGCTGATTTCAAATTGTCTTCATTTTCATAAAGAAGTATTCTAAAACACATTTTTCTTGAAATAAAAATAAGTGGTACACTATAACTTTGTTTTAATATTTTACAAAAATATGTTCGATTTTCATTATAGTAACACTGTAAATCTGGTTTATAGATGACACCTTGGTTTGCCAGGCAATAATTTCATAAAGATATGTAATTTTCATTGCCTGTTTTTAGAAAAAACCTGTGGGAGAGAACCTATACTGAAATTAAATTGTTTTATATTTTATATATGTATATGCCTAATAAACAGGCAAATTTGCTACTATATAAAATGTATAGCTATTAAATAAAAACTTATCATTCCCTTAAGTGATTTCAGAACCATGGCTCAGAGACTTATTTTAGTATAAATAGGTTAAAGCAAAGAAAATAGAAAAGGTGAAACAGTTCCTGTTCCACATTCAGGAAACTTAAGTTAATGACTCTGAATATATAGTTTTTAATTGAAGTGTCTTTGATTGTAGCATGATGTAATGACAGAAAATAGAATGCTCCCACTCATGAAAATTTTTGCATAAAGAAAGTGTTGATAATGAAAAGTGACTTTAAGTTTCTTTTAAAACTACATTGTTTCATCATATGCTTCTTTGTGTACATTTGGAAATTTTTGTGACATCTCAAAGATGAAGTTAGATAAAAATCATTAACAAAATAGTTGGTAAGTGAAAATATACAAATAACTAAAATTTATAAATTACAATGTCAATAATTCAAGAATGGAAGCTTTGAATTTATTAAAATGTAATTTCAAAATAATCTAATTGGTATTTAAATGCATTAATGACCCAATTTAATCTATTGATCTTTGAACTACTTTTTAAAAAATAGTAACTGGATTATTCCAGTTATTCAAGATCTTCTAAGAATTGTGTTTAAATTGTTATTTTTAATATGAATTATTCCTTTTTTCATGTTGTCACACTTGATCATTCCAGAGATTAGGATGTAATCAGTTGAGTAGAAAAATCAGATAAAATAATTACTAGTGATATTCAGTTCTGACAGCACTTACTATGCCCAAGATCATCTAATTTAGCCCTTAATCATGTATATATACAGAACTGTGAGTTTCATGATGAAGCAAATCTTTCCTATTCTTTAGTGATAATTCTGAAATTCTATATGTGATATACACCTATCCCACAGACCAGACCACCACTGAGAAAAAATGATGCACTTTTTTCTGTAAAGCACCATCTGTTTTTAGGACCAAGATATATAAACAGATGGATAGATATCTTATTTACTACTATGGGGATTGCCAGTTATTCCTAAAAGAAAAAGGGATTGCTGTATATATAGTATAAAGTATATGAGGCTGACTGCAAAGAAAACAGACAAAAGATTTCAATAGTATAACCACTGTAGTATCTTCTTTCTGTTTCAATCAGTACAGAATAAGGAAGCTTTATTTGTTTTCATTCATTGAACAACTGAGTGCTTGCTATAGGCTATATACTGTGCTAGAGGCTAAAAACTCATGAAAACTCACTTTCTAGTTGATGTTGAAAGTGAATTTCCCAAGAGATTGGGGACTGATATAAAGCAAATTATAAAGACATAAATAATAAAGTTTTCAGAGAATAAAGATGGGTCAACTAAATTAAAAGAGGATTTATCAAAAATACTGTGAAACTGCCCTCAAATGCTGAAGCTTAACTGACAAATAATTTGGCAGGTAGAGGGAGAGAGATATTCTAAGAGAAAGCAACCTTAAGAGTAAATATAAAGAGCAATTTGGTCTGATGTCTATCTACTAGTGAGAATTGAGTTTAACAGAAATATCCAGAGTGAGGGATGACAGGAATGAAGTCCTTAAAAGTCAACACCTACATAATGGTGAAAGTCCGCAAGTACCTTGGTAAGGTAGTTGAATTTATCCTGAGAGCCAACAAAGGTTCAAAAAGGATTAACAAGATTGACCTTGATTTGAAAGAACAACACTGTGTAATGCAAATGATAGACTACAGTCTGAAGAGATTGTTTAGCATTCCCTGAGAAAAGTGGTAAAGGATAGTGACATTGGAGGTTTTGAACCAGATATTATTCAGGTAAAATTTCAATTAGGTAACTGAAATAAATTATGGAGAGGAAAGAATGAAGTAGTAGGACAGGGATTTCTAGGTTGGGGAATTGGTCAAATGCTGGAGACATCAACTATGGTCCAAAATACATAAGGAATAACAAATCATAAGGGATTCTGGAATTAGAATTTGATATATTGTTCTGTAGGCTCCTTTTTTACTAAAAAAAAAAAAAAAAATTGAGAACACAACTATAAAGTTTTTCAAAATGAATCTACCAGGCTCAGTCTCCCTCCCTTGTTTCTTACTCTTCTCTCTACCTTACTCCCTCTTTTTTTCTTTTCTTCAACTTCAAAAAGTGTTTCTGATAACATTTCTGATTAAGAGAAATTTATTATGACTCATTGACAGAAAATAGAACATAGCCTTGAAAAGAAGAGTGGGGTGGTAATCGTATCAGAGATAAAATATTACAAAATTTATAATTTAATAGTTGGCAATTAGTAAAAAATGAACAACAACAAAAACTAAGAATCAATCCTAGCTACTCAGGAAGCTGAGGTCCAGATTGAGGCCAGCTCAGGATGAAAAGTCTACAATATTCCATCTTCAAAATAACCTGCAAAAAGCTCAAGTGAGATCCTGAATTCAATTCCTGTACTGCCAAAAAAGAAACCTAAATGAAATAGCTGAGCTTTCTGTATATGCTATTGGAATAACTATACAATAATTATGGGGAGAAGCCTGTAGTAGATAAGCATATACTTATCTTATGTGAGGCCCTATATTTAATCCCCAGGAGCCCCCAAACAAAC